AAATTTATATACTTCCCCCACACCCCCTCCTGCTGAAAAGAACTGAGCCCACAGCCACTAGCAGCTATGCGGTCTGCATTTGATGACAGAGATGCAGATCGTGTAGCTGCTCACGCAAGTCAGGTACGTGGTCAGTGATCATGTACCTGACCTGTCAGCTGGCTACGGGCCACATAGTACCGGCTCGTGGGTCGGTACTTTGAGACCCCTGCACTAGAGGCTTGTATTAATTGCAGACTATTCGATCCTCGTGGGTGGTGTTTGCTTTTACATTCTATATTCAGTATCTTTACTTGTCTCTAGTAAACAGTTGAGATACTCCATCGTGAGAGGTTCTAGCCAAAAAAAGTATGACACTATGCTACAAACCTAACTTGGACCCCTGGGCAAAGAATAGAAGGCCAATGCCCTAGTGTCTGAATTGGATCACCACACTGGCTTGGCAATCATGTCGTAAACTTTTTCCTGATCTCCCAGCAGTCGTCTGGTGTTTTTAATAGTATCTTTACACTGTAAAAGCCCAGTATTATCTAAAACTATCCTTACATTATTTAGTAGCCATAGAGTATGTGCGGTGGTGGTTTATATGGAGGCACTGGGGTTAAAAAGCAATGAAGATTGTTTGCAAACCACAGGACACTTTAGAGTTTGTTGAAGAGATTTTGTGGTTGCATCCCCTTCCGGTGACTCAGGAGGTGGCGATCACGTCTGGCCATTCAGTACCCATGCTTTGAACTAAATTGTTGCAGAAACCCAGGGATTCGAACTCTTCTGTGTGATCGTTTTGTATGTGGATGGAGAACAATCATGTCTTCTAACTGCAGGTGGCTGGAGCTTATCAGAATGGTAATAATTCATCCGTCCTGTGGAAAGATTGCCCCCATCATTGTGCCATCAATGTGCACGTTGTTTTAAAAAGCAATCTTCCGAGAATCAGACAGTTGCTACGCACAAAGTCAAAAGCCTTTGTGTTTGTCTATTGCTAACGTACTGCTGTTCAGTAAACTAACAATATTGATGTTCCACAAAATAATCTCGGGATCCCTTCCCTTTAAATAGGAAAACGTATTGTGTAACACACACCTATATTGTGAGATAAAAACCCATATCCTTGCTTGTAAGATGAATGCTTCCTTCCTCCTCTGGCTAGTACCTTTATCAAAGGCATGACATCTAAACCAAATTAAAAGGTTTTTTTTTTTTGGTTTTTTTTTCAATATAGGGTGCAGGCAAAATGCAATCTTCATTAACTGCCTTGTGCACCGATTTTTTACTGAGTGCCTAAATGTATTAAGAAATTATCTGTGTGTATATACATATATTTTTTTTTTTTTCTTCACTTCCCCTTCTCCACTCCCCCCTATGGCAGATGTTGTGGTCTCATTTGATTGCATAGGAAAACTGCAGTGATACAACAAACACCCAGAGAGATATGATGACAAATGGGTCCAGATCCCGGTAAATTACTTTCTGCTCAAATCGAAATTTCATTCAGTTTGTTGCTAGCAGAGATGAAGTAATCTAAATTGTGGACTCAGGAGCAGATAGAGGGAAGTCGGAGCAAGCATTTCATTATCAAGAGAGAGAGAGAAGGTTAGAATGAAAGAGATGAGCGGAGGCAAATCTAAAGTGTTGACACTATGATTGAAAAGGTTAACCCATACACATTATATATCAACCTGGATAGCAGTGACTTCCTAATGGAAACTCTGCTCTGATGGCGGTTTGCTGGAGTTTCAATACACAGAGCATGATGTCTTCTTAGATATACAATCAAATCCCCTTAACCCCTTTGATGACTCATATCTCTTGATATGATTAAAGCACAAAAAAGGGACTTCTTCAAATAATTTCAAGGACACAATGCATTTAAACTCTAGTCATGAATTGTATCTTATTTTATTTTTTATGACGAACCTAGAAATCTGATAAAAATAAGTGTAGAACAGAATTGTTTTGTATTTGCTTGAGGTATGTAAGTCACTGTTTTTGATTAAATCTCCGGGTTCCTTGTGAAATAGAAGGAAGGTCGTATTTTTCTGATGCAAAAAAGTAATTTTTTTTCAATATTCAGCTGTAAGCCAAGCACTATAATTTCAGACATTATTACCTTTTTTCCCCCCCCTTCTACTAAAGAAACACTTTTATGCATCTGGGGTGAAATCTGTGGTCATAAAATTAAGTGTTTTTTATCATTTGTTTTGTAGGTTATTTGGCAACAGCGGAGCTTGCAGTGCTTGCGGACAGTCCATTCCAGCCAGTGAATTGGTTATGAGGGCACAAGGGAACGTGTATCATCTCAAGGTACTTGTCCATGGCTGTTTGGGTTCATGTTAGGGCTGCAACTAATGATTATTTTCATAATCGATTAGTTGGCCGATTTTTATATGAAATACCATCCTTAATTTAAAATAAAATACACAAATGGATTTTCCAGTGCGGGTGCTCAACCTGTGGGTGGGAGGTGCATTTGGGGTGCCATTGAAATGAATGGCACTGCAAAGCACCTCCCGCAGCAGAATGTCAGGCCCAAACTGAGAATTACTTCCCACCCTTTAATTTTTTAATATTATTATTATTTCTTTTTTTTGAATAATTGTATTGTAAGCACATGGCGCTTGAATAGCTTCAGCCAGAGAATGAAAGCTGCCAGTGGCAGGATTCCACAGATGAATATAAATACAGGAGGTAGTGGGCTGGTGCAATAGCCAGCTTGCTATTGGCTATTTCAAATTGCTATAGCAGGCTGGCTATTGCCCCCACCTGCTGCTTGCTGTGCACCCTTCCCACCATGGAGGAGAGAGCTAGGAGGTCCAACCAACTAATCGGTAATGAGAATAGTTGACAACTATTATTGATTAGTTGGTCGCAGCCCTAGTTCATGTTTCATGATGTAGATACTTAATAGAAAGCTGTGAAGTCAAATTGAATACATTGAGTGTTATGCAAACTGTGGTGCTGAAGTGTCTAAGGGCTTGTGCTCCGTTCAGCAGTGTGTTTTTGTTTTTTGCACACCGCTGCACATGTATGGTCTGAGCAGGAACATAGAAAGCAGTCGTTCACACCTCATGTGTGGTGGCGTGCAGAAACAGTGCGAATGTCCCATCACACTCCTGACCAGCAGGTGCTGTAATGACAAGTGAATGGCTGCGCCAGTCACAAAGAGGGAGTCGCCAGCACATCATCCAAAATACCTTTTTGTTTGATGTTTTATCAGTTATATCAAAGAGAAGAGCAATGTTTCAAGACCACAAATGGTCCTTTTATCAGATTCACATTGCCTGGTGAAGGGACCCTGTGTGGTCTCAAGACATTGTTTTTCTCTTTTGATATTCTGATTAACGCAAACGAAGGCATTTTGTCTCATGAATATTGGTGTGCTAGTGACTCACTTCATACCATGTGGTGTGCAAAAGAACGCAGCTCAATGGACATGGTGTGAACAAGACATGCAGGTAGAACTGTGTGGGTTGCCTGTACCAACCAGAATCTGTTTTTTTTTTTCCTCCCATACCGCACAAGCAAAATATGATCAACTGTCTTTCCTTCACACTTATACATTAGGCATGGAGTGTGTAGACGCCCAGGCATTAAGCAGTTAAAGTGAAAGCTCTTTTTGTTCAGTCGCTTAATTGAAGCTGTGACCTATATTACTATTTTAGATATATTTTCTGAATTTGTCTTTTCTTCCACACAGTGTTTTACGTGCTCAACTTGTCGGAATCGCCTAGTCCCAGGGGACCGGTTTCACTACATCAATGGCAGTTTATTCTGTGAACATGATAGACCTACAGCTCTTATCAATGGTCATTTGAATTCACTTCAGAGCAATCCACTACTGCCAGACCAGAAGGTGAATGCTTTACTCTTTATTAACAAGCTTCTCAGAGGGGGCTAATTGCTACCATTTATCTGGCAGATTTTCTTCTATGCATTTTTCTTGTATGAACAGAAGTGTAAGGTGAAGACTAGAGGTCTGAGTGGTGCAACATCACAGGACATCAATAGCACAAAGCTATGCAGTCAGGTTTTAACCTGTTTAACCTTTCGGTTTCACCCTTTTGGGGAAAAGAAAAAGACTTTTCAAAATATTTCACAGCCAAGTACACATTTGATATCATTGGTCTATGTGGTAGTTTTTACCTGCCAAAAGATTTGTGTTCTGTGTTCAGATTTACAGACCTGCCAGACTGTACAGGCATACCAGTGACCTGACTTTTCTCTGCTGCAGTTAACCTCCTTGGTGGTATTCCCGAGTGTGACTCGGGGTTAATTTTCTGTACCATAAGCGATAACCCCCGAACCACACTCGGGAATACACAGTGCCTTTCTTACCTTGTCCCTCGAGCCGCGCTGTGTCCTCTGGCCCATGCCGGCATCCGTCTTCCGGGTTCCATCCCTTGCGAGTGTCCGTGTCGCAGGGAGGCGGAACCAGCTGGAGATTCAAAAGTTTAAAAAAAAAACGAAAACAAATAGAACGATAAAAGGAAAAAAACTAATCGTACCGCCAGGGAGGTTAAGCAGTAAAGGTAGGTCGCCTCCCTGGCACCAGCCTGTGCTTAGACAATAAGGTACCAGCAGCCAGTCATGCTTTTGTTTGTAGTAATCTCTCCTCTTGTTGGAGTGTTCTTTGTCAGAACATGTACCTGCTGCAGGAGAGCCCGATGTCAAGTCAAATTCAGATACGTACCTAACTGTTTTAAAATATCCATTTCAATTTTTTTAATCAATGCATATCTACATTAATTTTTTTGTGTGGTTGGATTTTTTTTTTTAAACCTTTTTATCTGCAAAGCTACAAAACACTTTGAAACAATGGTGTGGTTTTTCATCAGCCATTCCCATAGTGGCATTAGGGTACTAAAAGCTGATTTGTAATTGGCTGCCAGAAGTCAGTGCACATCAGTGCTGCTAGTACCTTTCTGTCAAGTACAGAAATCTTTCTGTTACATCGGAGCTATTTCAAATATTTGCTGCAAATCTGCAGTCTGAAGAGATTACACAAACTTGTAGCAGATTCTAATACTGCATAAAGTGGACCTGTCATTACATTCACACTTCCCATGAAAAGATACCAATCAGTATTTAAAGTAGCATGTTTTTTTTTTTCTTACCAAGAATTAAAAAAACTGCATCCCTACTTCCCAGCCTAGGTAGTTTGATTACATGGTCTCTGGCTGCCAGTCATCACAAATTATAGGTATCCTGTGATCAATGCTGTAAGTGGATTAGAAAAGGACCCATTTACTTACCACCCCGTGCAACTTATACTTTGGTATGGATCAATTATTTAGTATACTGACCTGCTTTAAATATGTGAGGTGACTTGACAGAGTCACTGTACAACAGTGCTTGGCTTCTATCCATTCATTGCTAAGGACAAGAAACACCCTGACATGGCAGTGTATGTCATCTTTGTTTTTAGTAATGACCCCCTGCACATTATGAATCCTTTAACGACCTGTGATCTAAAGGTAGCCATACATGCATGCCTGTGGGCTGCACAGTAAAAATCACTTGATTCTCTGATCCATGCTAAACAGTGTGGGTAGAGGATTCTTCCCTGCTGGCTATTGTGTTTAGGCAACTGGCTGTCTGAACACCTGAACAGTGACTGCGTTTAATTTGCATACAGTTGTTGTTTGGCCGACCAATTTTCCCCAGCTCCTTAGGTTGTTCTAACAACTTTTATCAAAGTGGATGGTGCCGACAGGGCCACCTACAACTGGAACTTCAAGATCATACAGCTTACTGGGTCCGCTACACAGCGTTTGTGACCAGTAACTTTATGGAGTTCCATAGTTATCAGAAGGGTGCACAGAGGAGCCAGACACATATGCTGTCTTGGTGAAATCCTTCCTTAAGCCGATTTTTTTTTTCTTTTTTTTTTTTTCCAGGGGGAATCTTTGCCACTCCTTTTTGAGTTTAAAGTATACTTGTCAGAAAAATGATGGCTACCACTGCTGGATTTTCTTAAAATGCTAGGTTCCTGGCCGCATTTGCTTTCAGTACTTCTGAGTCTCTAGCCCCTAGCAAATGAAAGGCAGAAAGTTTTCATTCCTAGCCTTTATATTTGCTGTTCTTCACTGGCCAAAATTGTTGAAGCCAGAGCATCAGCATGAAAGCTAAGCAACTAGAGTTTTCAGAAATGGAGGTTGGCAATGACGGTCTACATCAGGGTTTCTCAACTTTTTTTTTTTTTTTTTCTCCTGACACCCTCTTAAAAGTATGCAAAATCTCAAGACACCCCAGTCTAAAATGTCAGATTTTAACGGGGACTCCAAGCAAAAACAAAGTGGATTCCACCCTTTGCATCAGGAGCACCCTTTGCATGTTGGAGATGCTCATTTCCTTTTTGTTTTACTATACTTATAGTAAATTAGATACAATACGTTGAATCCAATTAAAAGAATTTCTCAACACATACAAAAGTCCTAACCACATATAAAACTAATCAATGAGCTTAGTGTTTATTATGGAGGCTGTGTGCTATATCTGCTTCCTGCTTTTTCATTGAATAGCCCAATGTGATTCCAGACAGGAAGTGACTGCGCCACACTTCATCAGACATGTCTTAGTTGACATTTCCAGACTTATTGTCCATCGGAACAACTGTACTGTCAATATAATTTGCAAATTAATTTCCTTTTTTTTTTTCTTAATGCATCCTTTTAATCCTAATTAGACAAGTTCTGTTATCAATCTAAAACAACAAAAAATGTAATTACTACTCTTATGATGGTATCCTAGTGCCCTAGAGCAACTGTATACATACTGTTCTTATTCAGAATAAGCACGTATATAAAATCATCTGGTTCTGCATTTTTAAGATTAAAGGAGAACTATGTGGTTAAGGCTTTTCCCCATAGTTCGCATTAAGGTAAAGGGAGGACACAAACTAGCGCCCTCCCGTCACCCTAAGCTCAGTATGCCGCTGAGACGCCACAGCTCAAGCTGATCCCGACAATTATGCCTGGATCCGCCCAGCTGCGTGAGTGACAGCTGGCTCTGCCTATCTAGAGGCAGAGCCAGCTGTACCCACCACGTCTGATCCACTAATCAGCGCTGGCTGGGAGGGGGGAATCCAGCCCCTCCCCTGTCACGGCAGAGAGCTGTGACAGGATCGAGAGGTGAGCGAACGCCGGTATGTGTTCGCTCACGTATCCATCTACTGTGCCGACCTGTGACAGTCTCAGTGTCACAGGTCGGCTAGAACTATGAGGTGAGTGAAAAGCACTCACCTCATAGTTCTCCTTTTAAACGGAACTCCAGGCATTATTTCACATTGTGTGTTGCCCACTAGCTAATTAATATATACTGTATTATATACAGTATGATATATACAATATAATGCTAGGGAACAATCTAATACAGAGGAATTCTCCTCTTAATCCACGGTCCTGCGTGTATGAGAATGGACACTCCTACATCATTACATACTACTGGTGGCCGCTGGTCCTGCATTTTATTTGGTGATGGCAGCAACAAGACAAGAGTAGGTTCAAGGACCCAGTCCTCACAAATGGTGTGGCTGAACTCCGGGCAGATCCAAAATGCATAACTCCGTGCTGATTTTGTATTAATACATCAGTAAAGGTGTTTTTTGTTTTTTTTTTTTAATGCAAGCAGTGCATGTCATTTGCTTGGTATTAGACGTGTGATGTCCATGTACAGCAGATCTCAGACTGGGGAGGGAGAAGAAGCACAATGTGCCAATCAGTTGTGTGGCAGTGCTAATAAGGAGAATTCCATTAGGATGAGAGTGCAGAGAGATTAAATTATCTGCCTGCTGCTTCTCCTTTCACTGTCCAGTCACAGGTTGGAAGAAGGACAAGACCTGTAAGTGTTAAAATCGGATCTCCTTTCCTGCCAGGCAGGGCTGCGATGTGTGGCAAAGCTATTTAAGGCTCCATTCACAAATGGCATTTACATCTTCCGTGCACATTGTTACATTACTACAGCCGCGAACGTGCAGAATCCGGCCCTAAAATCGTGCTCTGACAATTTTGCAGGACGCGTGGCTTTGTACCACGTAGACGGTGCAATTGTCTGATCAATGCACATTGCAGTGCATTGGTTTTTTTTTAATGTTTCAAGCTTTTCCACGCGTGCCAGTATGCGCGGAAAACCGCTCGTATGAATGGAGCCTAAATCTCAGGAATAGATGGACAGAAATATAAATCCTTTGGCAGGTGAACCAGCTCTCTTGTATGGATTTTGCGGTATGCTGGGAGTTCAGCTTTAAGGTAAGTATTCCTCTCCATTAGAATATCCTTTAGAAAAAAAAGTATTCTATTCATCATCCGCACATCAGGGGACAAGTTTAATTATTTTATTTATGCCTGCAGTTAAGCTTTTAATATTTTCTTTATTTAAAATGGCTGAACAACTAAATCTTATCCAAGTCATTTGTACAGGACAAAATACATTACAAGAAGCAGAGTGCTATGCCAGATTCATATTTGAATTTTTTGTTGTTGTCTACTGCTCCTCCCTCTCTAGCAATAGCTTAGTATGTATGAAGCGAGAAGGAAAACCTCTGCATTATACATGGGTGTGTGGGAGAGGGAACGGCACCTAGTTTATGAAGGTATCGTGTGGTGGTGTATAATCCAATCCACTGTCCTGTTTTTTTTTTTGTTTTTTTTTTATTTATACAAGGAATATTCCCTAAAATGTGGCAATTGGAATATCTGAAATGCTCATCAAATAGTACTATGTTGATATAATTAGTGTAGCATAGTGCAATTGTGGCATTGAAGAATTGAATATATCCTTGGTCCTAGATCATGTACATTTAAAAAAAAAAATTTTTGTAAGACAGGTGCAGCAGATATAAATGGAGATTGTACT